GAAAAAAAAAAACACAACTGATATGATACACACGTGAAATTCAATGTTTTAAAAAAAAATAAAATCAAATTTAGGAGTCAAACCATGTATGTACTCACTGTCTTTAACTCCTCCTTTTACGCTTTTGGGAAACCTCCTTCACCTGTACATACTTTATGGATGGTCCCTTTCCACAAATGGTGACTTAAATCAAATGCAATCAAATAAAGACACAAACTCTGTGTTCATTTTTTCTTTGGTAATTTCCTAACTGACATCTTCACTTTCATATATATTTACTTTCACTTAAATACTTGCTTTCGCTTACATCACTTATTCATTATACTCACTCTCCATTTTAAAGGTTAGCTTAATATTTCTTGTATGCTTTGTTATTAGGGTAGGTCGATTTTGGTTTGTAAGTACTGCTAAACTAAATAAAGTTGGATATTTATATATAAGTAACAAAAATAGCAAACTTAAGTGTTTTAACTGAATTTTTTTTTGCGGAATTTCGTTTGAATTAGTGGATTTGAATGCTTTGTTAACTACTTTTTGATATTTTATAAAAAAAAAAATTTCTTTATTTTTTAAAGCGAGCATGTATTGTATTTTGTTTGTAAACAATATTTGACTTCCTAGTTTTGTAGTCTTTAGTAAAGTCTCTGAATGTAACATTTAAAACGCCAAAAAATCAAAAATTTTAGCGACTAATAAATATTTCTTAAAATATACTTTTTGATTTACCTGAGTCTATACAACTAGATTTTTATGCTTAACTGGTTTGTATTAAATATATTTTAATATAAACCAGTTAAGCATATATCATTCTACAAAAGTAAAATAAATTTTACTTTTGTAGAATGATATAATGTTGCTGAACTAGATTAAAATGAACAATAAACACGTTTTACTAATTGTAAAAATATTATTATCAAGTTATTGTTTTGTGCAAAATTTAAATAGTTTAGTATTTTAATAAAATGTTATTAATTTATTGCATAACTGATGTGTCTTGTAATAATAATATGAACAAAGTATTTAGTTTTACAAAAATAAGAAACGCCAAAAATAAAAAAAAGGCCCTATACGCAATCGAAAAATGAAGAGAATTACGGAGGTTGCACTTGTAATTTAATTACAACGGATCCAAGCACATACAGACAATTGATTCGATTTTATTACTTCTTAAATTGTTCCGACATTAAGTCAAACTTTTGGGCAATTGTTAAGCCTGTTTCATGTGTTTTAAAACCTATATGGTTATCTGTCAATCCACGATTGCCTCTAATAAACAATAAGTCTATTGAAACAAAAATTAAAAATCTATTTGCGACTGTAAAAAACATAAAAACACGCTAAAGAAAATATCAAACGAAACCTGGACTCTAAACTAGATAAACATTTTTACACATCTGCTTGTTGCTGTTCATTGGATATTGTGTCATGTAACAATGTTTATGTAAAGTACAAAAAAGAAAAACGCAAAATGGAACACATTATTTGTATATGCCCTAAAGAAGCAAAAGTTCCAATAGAAGAAAGAGCTTATATATGAGACCAGCGTTTGAAAACAGGACCAAAAGGGCTATTTACACGACGAAAATGTACTTAAAAACAAATAATTCTAAAAGAAAAAAAAATTCATAATAAAATGTTTTGATGCAGAGCATCACCTTACTTTTACACATGATGATGGCAAATCTCATGGGATCTACTTGATACACAGAACAATACCTGTTGTTGGTGCTAGTGGGGATGTTTTTTCTCTTTAGACATTTAGTGTTCTTGAAGAATATGACAGTCTTGAGTCCGTGCTGTTCTTTTAGACAATACTGCATCAAATGCAGGTTGGAGGAGTGGCTTGATGGTTAATCCAGAAGAGTTGATTGGAAGGAAACTTTACACAATAGGTTGTAGCCTTCATCAGAGTAAACTCCCACTAAAAACTCTTTTTAAAAAGTTAGATGGAAAAACAACCGGTCCACAAAATTTTAGTGGACCAATTGGAAGAAATTCATAGACAACCTCAAGTAGAGTATGAAGGAATTCAAACTTCTATCACTGAAGGATATATTTCAGATAAGATATTAAAAGATATTAATCATGATCAAAGGCTTCTTTACGAATATTGTAAAGGTATTGGATTAGGTAAAGTAGAAGACAAATGGAGGATTTGTAAAATAGGTCCACTGAATCATGCTCGATGGTTAACCCTTTCTATATGAATTCTCTGTTTATACACTCAAGATGTTTCTCCAAACGCAAGTCTAAAAATGCTTACCCATTTTGTTGTTGAAGTTTATGCTCCATCGTGGTTTCAAATAAAGAAATCTTCAAAAATGCAAGATTCCCCCCAGATTCTATTTTTCACTGATAATCATTTGAACTTTATTAAGTTTGATGATGTAAAAAGAATTGCAAAAAAAAAAACTACGCAATGGTTGAAAATGATGATGAACAGATCAGACACTTGGATTTGAGACAATACTTACTCTCAGAAAACAGTAAACTTTATAAAATTAGTTCTTCTATTTTATCAGGCAAAGCTTTTTAAAAAAATATATTTTGCTGTATTTTATAACATTAAGTTATAATTAAGGTTATTAATTTTTTTTTTAATTTTTTGAAAGTAGCAATATTTTTATTTTTAGAAACAAAAGCAGTTATGGAATAGAAAAGAAAATCCCTCAACTAAATTGAAATGCTACAAGCTGGATATTGATATTGCTAATCTTGCTTATATCGAAATGGAGCCACCAACTACAAAAAAGTTTCCTGATAAAGATATTCACGCATTCATTAAAAATAAAGCCTAATATTCAAGACCTTTCCTCTCACTCCCAGAGCGCTGAGAGATGTTTCAAATTAGTTTCTGAAGCTTCTAACACCATATATGGATTTGAAGCCAGGTATAAATCTATACTAACAAAATTACTTAGTAGAAAAATGCGTCAAAGGTTTTTGTCAAAAGGACATCATTCTCAGTCGTATGATGATTTATTTTCTTAACTTGCTTGTTACATTCTTAAAAATTTTTTTTTAGTTTGAGTATTGTTTTTGAAATGAATTATTAAACTAATATTAATAATTTATTGAATTTTATTGAGCGTTTAATTAGAAAATCAATGTAACACAACAAATAAAAAATTTGTACTTAAATATAAATTGGACTTGTGAGATTTTTGCTTAATAAAATGAAACGATAAACTGATTGATTTTAAATACAAATATTTGAGTTATTCCTTGGTATGTCAAATTATTTTGATTAAAATTTTGTTTGAACGTATTTAAAAGTATGAAACCACAAGCAAAAAGTTAATATTTTTAAAGCAAATGTTGATGAGAGTACTTTTAAATTTTGATCGCTGATTCGCAGGCCGCAGTTTAACTAAACACCTTCAACTTTTTATTTTTTTGTTTTATATATATAAATACACCTTTCAGTACCTTAGCCATTACATATTTTAAAAAAAAGGGAAAAATCGACTTACCCTATGTGTTATCCCTTTGTATGCACTTGCTTCTATTTGGGTAACCTCCTTGTCTTATACCTGCCTTCATATTTAATGAACACCCCCTGAATTGGTTTTGCTATAGCCTATATTGAAAAATTTTTATCACAAGTTTTACTGGGCCATATGTGTGCTTCATTAAAGTGAGTTATTACTATAACCCTAAATTTAAAGCTCTTCCAGGAGTAAAAGATTTTGTTTATATTCTGGAAATTAAAATTAACAATATTTAAAAGACTAGAAACAATCCTAAAAACTATTAAAAGCAATAAAAAAAGATTAGTAAGCTGTTATCTAATCTTAAAGAAACTTAAATTTTTTAATGTCTATAACTGAAAGTCTTTTGGGTGAGAAGGGGAAAAAACCCCATGTTAGGGAGAGGAGGAGTTTTACAACCTTTATATCTAAATTTCTTAATTTTCCTAATTTCCAAAAAAAAATTAACTTTAAAAAAATTATTATTGGCAAATTCTTTGATAGTTAAATTGTTAAAATTTAATTAAAACTGAAACCCAAATATCAGGTATCCTCTTTTAAAAAAGATTTGGCAGGTTACAGAAAAATAACAGCTACGTAACAGGTTTCAAATAATTTGCATTAAAAACTTAAATTTTAGTCATGATTTTTTTATGTCTACAACTAAAAGTCTTTTGGGTAAGATGAGGAAAAAAACCTATATTAAGGCAGAAGGGAGTTTTACTATCTAAATTTCTTAATTTTTTTCAAAAAAAGAAATTAAGTTTAAAAAAATAATTTTTTTTTAATTCTTAAATTGTTAAAACCTAATTAAAATTGATGAAACCCAAATATCAGGTGCCCTTTCATGAAAAAGGATTAACAGGCTACCTTTAAGTGAGGGGGAAAGTTAAAGACAATGAGTATATACACAGTTTGACTATCTCTTGTTCTTTATCTCTCCTGAAACTTCTTTTTTTTTAACAAAGGAATTAAATTCACATTGGAAAAAAGAACACTATGTTATGTAACAGAGATAATTAAATAACTAAAAGTTTTTTTTATTTTCAATATTTTGAAAAATTTATTCATCGTGAGAAGAGAGAGGATTTAATTTTGTAATAAATAATTCATATGTACACAGAAGGAGAAGAGGCTGTTTAAAGTGCAAACAAAGGGGAAATGGTACTAATTAAGTGGTTTTATTGCTTCCATACTATATGGATGCATCTTAGAACTTAGTTGCCATTACATATGCAATAAATTAGATTTTACATATTTTTGGCAATTTTTAAAAGTAAAAACTTGGGTTAAAAATTTAGCAAAAACACATAACCAATTAGGGTTAAATACATCAAATACAAATACAAACAATACACAAACATTAATTCTAGATTCCTAAATACAAATTCAAATAATACCAATATATATAATTGGCATTTTCTAAATACAAATACAAATATTTGTGTTTTAGGTTAAAAGATAGTAGCAACATTTAGACATATATTTAGTGTTGATTAAAATTAAGTGTACATATAAAGTTAGAGTTACCTAAAATTGAGTATAGATATAAAGTTTGTGTTGAATAAAATTGAGTGTAGATATAGTTTGATTTAGGCAACCACACTAGTTGAACAGGATGTGGTTACATCTGAAAACGAAACTTTAAAATATTTACAAAGAGGACAAAAAGAGTTAGTGCTAATTCAATTTACCATTGTAAACTTAAATTATAAATATATATTTTGTTAGTTCATCTTAAATGATAGAAATAATATTAAAAAATTTGAAAATGTGTTTCAAACTGAGACTATTACAATAAAATTTCTTTGAATAACAAAAACATTCTATGATAGATACTCTGTGATAAAATTTTTATCTCAAGAAAAAAAAGAATGATTCCAAAAATACTTAATAAACTTTTTTATCAATATATTTATTTAAATACTTATAGGAGATTCCAATAAACTAAAATTAAACATCATTGAATAACAATTAAACAAAATATTTTCATATAATATATTTGAAAAAAAATAACAATTTGTGAATACTGCAAATAAAAAAAATTACTTACAGTAACAGCTAATACTAAGTTATGCAACACCAAAACAAAAACCTTCTCAATCTAAATATTATTGTAAATTAGTAATGTATGAAGTTAAATAAATTTAATCACTGTTGAAACTTTAGAAATTTAAAAATAACGTTTCTAAAATATTGTTAAGAATTCAACCCACAAATATTTAAAGCATTAAAAACATCCGAATATTAAAAATGGTGTTCTAAGATGAAAACAAATATAAATATAATCACAGTGAATATCAGAATTCATATATCATGAAAAAGAAAACTTATAATTTATAAAATAATAACAAAAAGTAATAATGACAAAACAATAAATGAAAAAAACCAATAAAAAAAAAATTAAATCAAATAAAATCCTTTTTAGCATTTTTTTTTTTTTTTTGCTTTACTTTTAAATTTGATTTACAAATATAATTGATTGAATTAAATCAAATAACAAAAACAGTTTTAAGAAAGAAAAAATTGAAATAAGAAAAAAAAGGCTCATTAAGTTTATTTATCAAATAAAGTATTAATTTAGTTCTTTCAGAACTAAATAGAGTGAACTAAATTTAGTTCAATCTGTTTTGATATTCTCATACAATACTTTAAAGTAAATACATTCGCTTAGTTCTTTTTTTAGACGTTCATTTTCTTCCTTTAAATTATCTATATCAGTGTAAAGCTTTTCGTTTTCTGAAAGTGTTTCTTCTAAAGCTAATCTTCTTTCTTCAGCTATTTTTTGCCAATATTTTTCATTTGTGCTTTCCGTTGCTTTCATTAATAAGATTGCTTTATCAACAAGGTTATCGTTTTTAAGATTTTTTTTATTAAAAAATGAGTCTTTTTGGGGAGTATTTTGACCAGTTAACGAACCATCTATTGAAGGTTGTAGTGTAGCAAGATTTTTTCGAGGCTTCTTTGGTTGTATTGATTTATCGCAAAGCTTTTTTTGAGCGATTTCTTCATCATTTAATATTTTAAAGGATTTGTTTTTTTTTCCACTTGAAAAAGGTGAAAAATTTAACTTATTCTCAGTCTTCATTCCTGCATGAGGTGTTAGGTTTTCTTTATTGACTACTTTTGGAGAAAAGTTTGTTACGGTTTGAACGTTCGCCATTTTATAAACAAATTCCCGCCTAAATATTTTCGTGCATATTTTAAGCTTGTAAAAAACAATTATCAAGAGAAAAGTATGCCGAATGTTCTTTTATTAATATCCGGATGTTGCGAATATATATAAAAAAAATATCATACTAAATTATAAAGTGCGCAGTTACATAAGAGCAGGGTTGAAAAGTAATGTTTTTGTCACGGAAGGAAATTGATTCACTAAGTTGTAAACTAAATAAAAAATAAAAGCGCGTAGAGGTTTTTTAAGATATTTTAGAAACTACCAATAAAGCAATAGTAATTTGGGTTAAAGACATTATTTGTAGAGTTTCTGCAACAGGCCTTCAAAACTTGAAGGCCTGTTGCAGAATTTTTAAATTCCTTTAAAAAGGTATAAGTTAAACTTACAAAAGTGTTCTTGACAAATATTGCATTTTTTTTTTATTCCAAATCAATTAAAGTCATTTAATGTCATGGAAGGACATGTGACGGAAGGACAAAAAGTACACATTAATGAGCCTATCATATAATTCTTTTTTAAGCAGAAAAAAAACAAAATTTTCATAGACTTCATTGAATTTTTTATCATTGTCAATAATTTTGAATTTCTCCTTCAGCTTCTCTATTATTTTTTTCCCATGCCAACGATTTAAAAACATCTGAAGATTTTTTTATAGTGCTGTTTAAATATAAGTTAACTGAATTTTGATTTAATCTTCTAACATAATGAACCTTTAAAGTTCCTTGAGTATAAATGCTATCATTTAAATTTGGTGACTCAATATCTTTTGTGTCTAAGTAGATTACTGTAATATCACATAGCCGATTAGCTACTTCGAAAAACTGTTTAGTATTTTCAATTACAACTTTAGATGACAAAACTTCCCTGTAAACTTGGTTTTTAATAGTTCCACCAATTCCATCATGAAGTCCTTTAAAGTAATGTGTCTCACCATAACTCCAAGTCAATGTAATATTTTCAGGGTAGTAAGAAAAGGACCGAAAATTAAGTTGAGATCGGAACTGACCAGCACATCCGTCACTCCAGAAATGGAAAGTGGAAACTGATGGAGCTATATCCTTGATGATGCTTATAAGCCGGTTGTTGTTTGTAAATGCAACATTGTGATCATCTTTCGTTTCATTTGATATGATTGCTACTGGAAACTTCACCAAATTAAAATTTTATCAACTTTACCACTCTGAATTGTGATATTTATTTTATGGAAGTAAAAAGCTGCTGTAAATATGGTAAAATGTTCATGCCTAAAATAAGAACTCTGGATCTCATGGAGTTGTTTTTCATTTTCGTAGTTCTCGAAAAAACTGACACCGATTATTACTTCATCTTCTTTGAGATTTGCCTTCAGCCATTTTAACTCTGAAAACTGACGGTAATTATTATACTTATGCATTCTTATTTTGCTGCCATCAACCGTTTCTGATAAAAGCATTGCAGCTTCTTCACCAGTAGCTTTTTCTTGAACTTTGCAAACAACCTTTTTTGAGGTTATTTAACTGTAATATGGAAAAACATCAATTTTTTAAAATTCTTGACACAAATCAGATATTATGGTTCTTCCAGGACATTTTAAACATTATAAGTGACTTGACAGAGCATACACCAAGTTCCACAAGATCCAGTGGTTCAGCTGGCAGATTTTCAACAAACTTTTTTTCTTTTTTCTTTGATAAAATATTTTTTTATTGCCTGTAGCAAAAGTTGACCATTTTCACAAGTTTCACATCGACAATCCCCTTCTGGTGTTTTACTTGCATAATCAGGTTATTTTCAGCATTAATAACTTCTCGTAACTGATGATAAGTGATTTTAATGTCATTCTCTTTATTAAATAAGTAAACAAATTCTCTAAATGTATAAAGCATGTAATGCTTTGAACGATAGACTGTAACACCATTAGATTTTCCACAGTAAACAATCATATTCTTTAGTGTTTTGCTTTAAAAGTTCTAACTTTGCCTTCTTTCGCTCTCTTTCTTTTTTAAGATATTTCTCATTATTAGTTTTTTTCAGTCTGGATAAATATTCTTTTTGCCTTTGTGAACCAGGCTTTCCCATTTAATTATTTTTAAATTAGTTATAGTTTGAAAGCAAAAACGAACAAAAAATCCTAAAAAATCCTAAAATATAGTTACACAAGTATAAAATAAACTTATTCAAGAAGTAATCCAATTTTCACGGAAGGACACACATTCATTGTCACGGAAGGACACCAAATTCAATCTCTATAAAAAATATTTACGATGAATTTGGCTTAAGCTGCAATTAAATCTTAGTTCCTTAAAATCTAATACTTTGTAGAATTTAAGAAAGTCATCACTTATACGGCCGATAAGAAAAACTTTTTACTCAAAATTTGTCATGGAAGGATTCATACTTTTTGTATAAAATGTAATGCATTTTCTAACATTGTCAGCAATGCTAAGAAAATGTAAATCTTTTTTTGAAACACATCATACTTGGGTATTTATAAAAAATAGTGAAGTCCTTTAAAAAAGTTAGATGCATACTAGATCTTCCAAGTTTAATTTATTCTGTTTGTCCTTCCCTGACAATGAACAAGGTTATAGGTTGACATTAAAGGGTTGATGAAAGGCAACTAACAGTCCTATATTTATTTTTAAGGTTAAAATTGTAAATTTAACTATTCTGCTAATGACAAATGTATGTTGGAATAGTTAGAACATTTTTTTTCATGTTTTATGTCACTACTTTTCAACCCTGCCCTTAATGAGATTTATCAAAACAACTAGTCTCGTTTAGAACACAAAAAAACATACTTTAACACTTATATATACATGCCCAAAACAAATGTTCATTAATCGCGTGCCCTTAATCGAAAAAAAATGTTCATTAATCGCGTGCCCTTAATCGAAAACAAATGTTCATTAATCGCGTGCCCTTAATCGAAAACAAATGTTCATTAATCGCGTGCCCTTAATCGAAAACAAATGTTCATTAATCGCGTGCCCTTAATCGAAAACAAATGTTCATTAATCGCGTGCCCTTAATCGAAAACAAACGTTCATTAATCACGTGCCCTTAAAAAAAAAAAAAAAAATCAGAGCATTTTTAAATGAAAATGCTCTGGTTTTTTGACTTGACCCCAACTTCATCAGAGATCTTTAGATTGATGCAGAGGCGTCCCGATGGGGAGAGTAGAGGGTGACTTGCCCCCTTACGAAATTTATTAGTCGGCATATTCATTGGCAAATTGGATTTATAGGTGGTATTTAGCAAATGTTTCTTTAATATCTTTTCGGGACGGCCCTGGATTGATGTCCAGTTTTTCTACCAGTTCCATGGAATTTGTATTTACAATATACAACCCATTTTCCGATCTCATAATCTCCAAAAAAGTTTGGACACTTTCAATTAGTTTTAAAGCGCTTTGCAGATTAACAGTTTTCATCTTAGTGTTTCGCTTACTAAATTAAATTTGAACAAGACATCATACCGAAAGACCAAAGAGCAGAAGAATTTAAAATCTGTAATTTTATTGGAAATCCCATAGCGGTACATTTTCCAAAATCATCAATCTTAATTTGATTAAACAGTGTCTTAAACCTCATCAATGTGGTATCGCAAAGAATTAAGGGCGTCTATCCTGCGCTCCCAACGGTTTTTATTTGGAGAAATAATAGTCAAATTGTTTACATAATTTGTTAATGTACTCCATTTAAGGATCGATTCAGAAAAAAAGTTATAAATCTCCTGAATATTGCTGAAAAAGTTAACAGTTAGAGTGCTGAAAAACTCTGTATAATTGACAACAAGTTTTAGCAAATGGCTTTGACAAGACACAAAATAATTTCGTGGGTCAAGGTCAAGGATCTTTTTTTGTACACCTACGTTTTTTCCCTTTGTGTTTGATCTATTATAAAACTTTTGCCATGGATTTTTTGTAAGGATATTCCTTTTAAAAGCTCGTCTAACAAGCAAGTTGTCAACTCTTGCCCAGATGTTTCTAAGACCTGAACAAATCCAAGAAAAAGTCCCTTTACCTTTACTTCTTCTGCTGCAACTGCATAAACAAACCAAACTATATGTTTTTTTATTCTTTACGTCAGGAGTTCAGTCAAGATTTATAGAATAACATAAAATTTTTTGCAGTTCACACAAGATAAACTCAATAACTTTACATAAAAAAAGACCAATAAATTCATTTTGAGCTTTTTTGCTTAAAGAATGTACATGACACCCGACGAAGACTTTCAGAAAGAACAGGGTCAAGATTTTGAAATGTATTCAAAACGTTTTAAAAAGTTTCCATTGTTTTCTTTGAAAACTGTTCCACTTGTTTCACAATAAGCTAATTCTTGAGTACCAAGGAATTGCACAATACAAAGAGAGGAGTTAAAACTAAAGTTTTTATTTTAAAACAAGACTTTGTACTGTGATTTTATACAATTTATTTTAAGAAAAGAACCTTAAAAGCTTGAACCTTAAATGAATATGAAGTTGATGTACTTTTACTGTGGTACTTGGTTGTAAATTAAAGCCCTCTTGTACAGATATAGCTTCAACTTCTTCATCAAGAATTTCTTTTAAATTTTAGGACTGTGATTTTTTTCCTGACGTCTTTTGTACGTAGGGTACAAGGTGTTTTTTTTTTTTGTTTGTTTATTATAATTTTAATTATGGTTAAAAGTACACCCAACACCGAACATCAAGAAAAGAATATTATAAAAATATAAAAACGATGGTTATTAAGGCTTAAACAAACGGTAACCTATTATCTCTTTAACTTATTATTATTTTGTATTTATCAACAAAGTTAATTGTAAAAACTTCACTTTTTTATCGTAGATTATCTGGAGTTGATACTGATTATCGTTTGGACCTTGTTTTTCCAAACGATTTTAACAATTTTTGAGTAGATTTTGTAATTTTATCTTATAGTCTCATTAATGCTGTCAGTTTATAAAAATGGCTTATAAATATGGCATTCAAATCTATTTTTGTTTCTGCTTACAACCAGAGTCTTATAGAGGTTTCCATATTTGAAGAAAATTATTGTAAAAAAT